GGTTGGACCAGATGATCTCCAGTCCCCTCACAAACAAACTAAACTATTCGATGCTGCTCTGACATAGCAAGATATACAATTACCACACAGATCTTGTTCTAGGGGTTGGAGAAAAGCACAATTAAAAAAAATCCCCAAAGTCTCAAGCTGAATTCTGGTGAAACCAGTCAGACCTCACACTACACTTTATCAAGGAAAGCATTATTCAAGCAGCTCCCTTTGCTTAAGACAAGCACAAAAGGAGGCAGGATCTTCTGCCACATAAGCACCTGAGCTGACAAGTGAAGGTACACTTGTTCTGTACTTTGATAAAGTAACACAATATGATTTTGGCAGACAATTCTACCAACAGTTTGTATGACTTTCTTTGCCAGTATAAGTCCTTTAAAATGGTTGGCGTAATGTGCAAGCCATATGCTTAAAATCATAAAGCATTCTAACAGCTTAGGATTGTTTTTCAGGAAAAAAAACTGGGAAATTTGCTCTGAACTTCTCCATTATTCTGACAAATTGTCCTACAAAAAGCACAAAAGTACAATGACTGCCTGGTAAGCACATTCTTGTCTTTACACAGGCCTGCAATTCTACTCTTTGACCCTTCAGAAATAAACTAATTGGATTTGTGCTTTAATGCCAGTTGTTGTTATATATGAGACTTTGTATTTTATTTTAAGCTCTGTCCCTGTTTGTTACTGCAGCATGTCACTCTTGGGGTGTGTGTTAAAGCATTTTTTCCAGTGTCTCTTGTAGGCACTGAAGAACAATAGCACTGCCATTGTTCTGGGTCCCACCTTGCTTCAAAATTAATATTAGGTCATATACTGACTCCTTAAAAGGCAAATATGCCAGTTGGATGGTACGACAGTGAATATATGTGTAGCTAGAAATCACTAGGGCTTTTTATTTGTTTTCAGTGTTGTTATAATAGTCTGAGTCTCAGGAAGGGGGGAAGAAAAAAAATATCAAAAAACATCAAGATGACAACAAAAAGCTCCTTCAGAGCACCTGAAGGAGTCTATCTTCTTGCCATACACTCCACAACACTATTACAGTACCTAGGAAGCCTAAAAACTGATCAGAATTTTCATCAAGGTAAACAAATGTGTGCTGGGTTTCTCTGTGTGTGGCACGGGTTTCTGGTAGAGGGGAAGGAGGCTACAGCAGTGGCCCCGTGTGAGAAACTTCTCAAACCTCCCCCCAAGTTGGACCCGACCGGCCAAAGGCAAGCCAATTATCGATGGTGGCTGTGCCTCTGCGATAACATATTTAAGAAGAGGAACGTGGGAGGAGGAGGGGAAGTTGTGAAAGAAACACATATGTGAACACCCAAGTCATCAGAAGAAAGGAAGAGGAAGGCAGAGAGGTGCACCGCAGCAGAGATGCCACTGCAGTCCATGGTGAGAGGGCAGGCTGTCACCCTGCAGCCCATGGAGGTCCACAGTGGAACAGATGCCCACCTGCAGCCCATGGAGGACTCCATGACAGAGCTGGATGCTGTGCCTGAAGAAGGCTAGGCACTCTGTAGGAAGTCCCTACTGTTGTAGTTCAGCACTGGGAGGACTGCAACACGTGGGAGGAGCACACACTGGAGAAGCTTGGGAAGAGTTCCAGTCTGTGAGAAGGACCCAAGTCAGAGAAAGTTCATGTAGGCATATCTCCTGTAAGAGGGAACCCACACCGGATCAGGGGAAGAATGCAAGAAGACCCCCCTCCCACGGAGGAAGGAGCAGTGGGATTGACTCCATTCCCTGCCCCCCTGTGCCACTAGTGGAGAGCAGGCAGAGAAATCAAGAGCAAAACTAAGCCCGAGAAGAAGGGAGGGATAGGGAGAAGGTGTTTTTAAGATGTTGTAATACTTCTCACTGTCTTACTGTTTGTCAGTGTTGTTGTTGTCAGTGTTTGAATTAAATTGACGCTCTTTTTCTTCCCTTAGTGAGTCTGAGTCTACCTTTTGCCTGTGACCATAATGTGTGAGTGATCCCTCCCTATCCTTATCTCAATTCCTGAGTCTTTTGTTGTAATTTTCTCCTTCCCATTCCTGAGGGGGAACGAATGAACAAGTGGCTGCAGAGTGCTCAGTTGCTCTCTGGGCTCAAGCCAGGACAGTATATTAACTTTATGTTGAAACAACACCAGACACATAGGATCATTCCCGTGATGAACTGTCCACCACAAACCTAAACTTGCTCACAGCTTTAGGCACAGAATATGTAAGCAAATTCCACTGTTATCTGCACATAGATTGTGCTGGTCAGAATGGCGATAGAAACTAGAGGTACAGGGCCATTTTCATCAGCTGCAGGTGGACCTGGAGCAAACGACTCACTGATCCCCATGCACATTTTTAAAATCAGAAAAATGACATTGACATCCTCTGAAGTGCTTTTGCAATGGAAGGATCCCACACTCTGCTTCCTTCTCCTTAGTAAGATACACTTATTTTACCAGCTGTTTGCTTTCCTTTCCACCATCAGTAAAATCTGTAAGTTTACTCCTATTAGAAACAGTTTTCATACCTTTGAATCAAACCTGATTACAGACATTAGTATTGAAGGTTGTCAGTGGCCAGGTAAACTACAATTCACACACCTACCTATACTAACAGCCTTTAATTCTGTGTTTCTGCTGAAGTTTTCCTCACTTAGGAAGACTCCCTACTCATACTGTCATACATTAGAAAACATTCTCCTTTCATTTGAATTCCCACATCACTAGGAAATGACTGAAGACTTCATTATTTCTATGCCATTCAGTCTTACATTGCCAGTCTTCCCCTTGAGATTTTCTTTTAACCCATTAATACCTGCTTCCTTGATGATTTTTAATATTCATTAGTACAACTATCCTGACAACTCTGAAACAAGTCATTCTACTAGTTCTACCACTCATTACTGATTTTCCAATTAAACTTAACATTCATTAGATCCTAATGGATGCTCCTCAGTCACAGGATCTCCTTGGCTACACAAGGCCCTTTGACAAGTTACTACAGCTTCTCTAAGCATCAGTACAATACTATGAAGGCACACTATGTCTTACATTCTACAGGGAACTGTAAAATAAAAGCATTTGAAGAACAATGTCACAGGCCTTCCTGAGCCTTAAGGACTATGTTATTTATAAATATTGCCTAATTAATTCTCTAGTGTATAAGCTTACAAGGCCACTAGTACTCAGCTGTCACCAACCCCTTTGCTATGGTTCATGATCTGGTGGTTATGTATTATTTCCTGTTCTTGTTCTACAGTGTTAATCAAACCAGGAGTCTTGCTGAAGAGCTGAGCTGCAGTATTGTTTATCTTAACACTGGTTCTGTAGGAGCACTGCTTGGACATCAAGCCATATGAAATTTCTAGAGCTTATTCTCTTATTTAAAGAAGTCACAGTGGCATAAACACTAAGCAAGGCAGTAGCCCTTGGAATCCTACTACCCATCTCAATACTGCACTGTGAACCTCCCTCCTCATTACCATCTGTACACTTCATGTAGACTTTAACAGTAAAAAATAACCCCACCGTGCCCCCACAACATACACAAATAAAATGCATCAAACCAAAATATATGTTTATCAAAGACTTTCAAAAGAGAGATATCCAAGATGCAAGAAGCATTCTCAAGTTCTGATGACAGGCAGCTCTTAGGAGAATATTGTTTATAACAATTTTCCTCATTGTAGTATGTTGAAAGCTTTGGCATTTAATGTTAGCTTAAGGCTTCATAGCAAGCATGTTTCAGTCCTCCTAACTATTACAAGCATTTAATGTTTACAGCAATGCTGTCCTTTTAGCACACGTGTAACATCCAAGAATAACTGTTGCTAAGGGGCTAAGTTTGAACTGAGCATCTCAAATAGTGACCAGAATTCAAAACTAACATATCGTGCACAGAGAATTTTACCTCATTAGTGAGACAAAAAAAAGAAGCCCAAGAAGAAACATACACACACTAAAATGGTAGCATGCATTTTTAATAATGCACTGAATTATCTCCTTCCAAACCCTGGATTCCCAGGGCCTGGATTTTTGAAGTCATGACCAGACAAGAAAATGAAAGGCATCTTCATTCAAAGGCTGTTTTGAGAAACCAACTGCATGTGTATATTCATAGCTATTCTCTAATCTTTAAAGCAATAAAGAAGTAGATTTTACTCCTGTTTTAGTCAAAAAGTTAAAGTAGTAATTTAAAATTCTTAAGACTTCAGTTTTTAAGAATTCATTGTATTTAAAGAACTCAAAACGTAGAGTACAGCAAGAATTGCTAAAAAAAAAATATTAAAATGCTAGCTCCATGGGCTTAACAAAAACAAAATTTGTATCTACCATCAGCAACATCCTAGAGCAGTGATTTGTCACAGAAGTATCTTGTAAGTTACAACCTGTCACAAATATGATGCAATAGAAGCAAACAGCAGGATAGAAGACAAGAACAATTATTTTTTAAGTATTGGCATGGCTTTACATTTAGAAGTAATTCTTACATTACTAGATCTTCAAAGGACTTCCAAGACTAAGATTAGTGGCAAGGACTAGCATTTTTATACTCAGTATAGCTCATCAATGCTCCTGCTGTACTTAGAGTCCCACATAAGCCACCAGTGAACAATATTCCTAAAAAATCTCACCAGAATTTTTCTGCTTGTACACTGTGGCACTTACATAAAGTATACTGGGGCGAGAAGGTTGCCACATCGTCTGAACTGAAAGTTAATTAGAACTAGTCATTGGTATTAACTATATTTATTAGTTTGATAACCTGCTGTTATCAGATCAGAATAAAAGAGATTTAAAAATTTATATGCACCAATTAAAAAGAAACATAAATCAGTTCTTCTATGCTGAAATCAGTGAAAACATGCCTGTTTCCTATAAGACAAGAACCTGCTCTTATTATCAGTGTACTAACAGGGGGAGCGACTAATCAAGTACAAACTTGAAAATTCATATTATATTTGTAAACACAAAATATCAATAAATTACTAGAGTTTGAAATGACCACTTACCAAAATCTACTCTTGTTAGTATGCACTGCATTGGATGATCAGTTGTATGCCTTGTCGTTGTTGCACCACTTTCATAACAAGTTGCACACAGGTCGTAATCGTAGCAAATTAAACACTTATATCGGCGACCTCTAAAATTTCCTTTTAAACATGCATCACAGCTGACACCTGTAAACAAAAAAAAACAATTGCTTTAAAACAGCAATAAATACATTTTTTTTGAGGCAGATTTGTTGCTATTGCCTCTCATAAAGGAGCCAGCCGTCTCTGACACGTGCAGCTGACAAGACTCAATCTTTAAGTGTATTTATATATTTAAAAGACACCGTCCTCCCGAAATCAGAATCTTGAATTCTTGGAGTAAAATAAGGCAAAGATAAGCACCTGAAATAATAATAGGTTAAATTATAAAATCTTCAGATACACATTCCTACAGGCACCTTTACTTGGTATTACTGACAGCTATTTTGACTGTTCAGTTTGGAATCTTGAGGCAAACTTAAAAGGCAAACTGTATGAAAAAACAACAATAAGCAAACAAACCACTGGCAAAAATCTACCTTTTCGGCCTTTACCTTCACACTTCCTAATACTTTAATTCTGAAGAACGCCATAACCATCCCTGACATTATGCACGGAGTAGAAATCAGGACCTTTTTCCATTTTAAATAACAGAAAAAAAGTTAAGGTGTTTTTTGAATTTAGGATGCATCAGTTCACCCCATTTCCTTCTCATGCTCGATCTTTGCACTGTAAGGTAGTCACACAGCCTAGGTCACAAAAAGGCTTTACAGCTTCCAAAGGTTTTAATTCTTCTCTGTGTGGCTTCAGTTCTCTCTTGGTTACTTGGTTAAGTGCCGAACTGTCATCACCTTGCAATCTGTCAAATCTAACACAAACCTCCTTCAATTGCAGCAGCAAACCAAGGGCCTCCAGGAAAGAAACTAGCGTATACAGTTAAGGCAGGATTTTGATCACCATCCTCTTTCAGCATCAGCTAAGACACGTTCTTCATAGCTTGGTACAAGCACACACAACTTTAGAGAAATAAAAATGCTAGAATAAAAAAGCTACATTACCACCTACCTGTTTTTTAAGCCCAAGTGCTAGAGTACTGGTCTTAATTATAGAAATTTTTCTGCACTTTCAGTCGTGCTACTCTACCCTGTAGCATCTGAACAGCAGCTTTACCACACAACGCAGGAATGCAACATCAAGCAATTTCTTTTAGATCTCTGCTACTTGTTCAAACAATTGCATCATCACATTTAGATGAACAGTGGACAGTTATAACTTTTTCCTTTAGTTTCTTTACCTAGAGGGATAGCTTAAGGCATTATCTAGTTGTTTCTAATGTCTAACCACCATGCTTATACAAATACTGAGTCTACTTCTTTAGTTGCCTCATTCAGTATCTACTTTGAAAGCATCACTCTACATGGAATAGTGTATCAGAATAAAATATTTCAAGAATCTTCATTAATAGCCTCAAAAAAACACATTTTGAGGATGGCCCTGTTACCATCTTCAAAGTTGCTCCTTTTTGAAATCTTTCTCACTTGACATGCTCGTCTCTGAAGTTTCATCCATTAACTCTGAAGAATCTGTAACAGTATTTGATGTTTTGGATGCTGAGTGACCTACCTTCTGAGAACACTTGTTTGTTAACTCTGTAGAATGAATTTAGTTGCTTCAGTTTGTTTGTTTTTCCCATATAGAGATCTACAAAATTTTATCTATGCAGCAACCTATCTCCCCGACAATGCATGCTATACACAAAACATCAGTTATTGGCAACACTGCTTGTCTTTTTGTTGCTTACTAAACCTTCTAGAAAATAGCTGATCAGCAAGTTAGACATCACAAATAAGCAGACTAGTTTAACCTAGAGACTATGCCAGACACTAACAGCTTTCCAGCTGAAGTAGTAAGCCATGGTTCTCCAGTAGGTTCTATTTTCCGTACTTTTTTCCTTTAAGCTCAGAACAGCTGATTTAATGCAGATGTAAGCCTCTTTGCAACAGTCAATCTCCTCCTGTCACATGTTCTCTCATATGGTCCTACTTGCAGACAGCCATGTTTTTAATAAGTTTTTTCATTTACACATTTTCTTCATGCCAATGCTTCTCCATATCATTCCAAACTGCAGACCCATACACTTTGTGATGTTACCTTTGTAGAAATTCAGCCATAAACATAAATCACAACATAAGGTTTGCATTTAAAACTTACGAACATTCCCAGTGGAAATGTAGAACAGCATCTTCAGACAAATTAATTTGGGGTTTTATGATCAACTACCAGAAAGTCGACAACTGGATTCAAACAGAAAAGCTAATATTAGCGTAACACATCACTGAGGCTGGTGAAGCCAGACCAAGAGAATAACAAAGTTAGAGACAGCATGCTTTCTACATCTCAAGGTTAGGATTTTGCCACAACTACCACATCCTCCCCTTCAAGAAACAGGCTGACAGCAGGGAATGTACTGTGCTACTTTTATATCCTTTTGTGTAGCAGAGAATGAAAACCACAAAAGGGAAAATAAGTAAATTAAAAGCCTCAGTTTGGGAGCTAAACCTATGCTTATATCCCCAGACCTCCCCCTGAATCCAGTAGTACCTATTTTCCAGAAGTTACATCACATATTCTTCCCTTTTTACAACAGTCTCACCAAAGTAAGGTGTGTTACAGTTCTTCCTGTTCTTCAAGTCTATTACTTGGCTGCCAAAACCTCACCCATTATCTAACCTGGGATCTGGAAATTGAAATACCCAGGCAAATAGTCTCTTCCCACCCCATTCTTTCCATTATAGTAAACACTTACTTCCGTATCAAAGTTTTGATTTTGTTTTAAAATTTTCTTTACTTAAATCTTTACATCAACTGAAATTTCAAAAGTTCCTTTATTTTCCCTGCAAACCCCAAACTCTCAAAGATAACATTTCTGTCAGCACAACATGTCTTCCACTAGATGCCTATCCAATGTTTCCCTGTATTTACCTTACATTTGCAAATACAGCAGTTATGTTGCAGATTCAATGTCAGATTAAACTGGATGCATCCATAATAATCACATATTTTGAGAAGAAAACATGGTCTGAAGGGGTATACTTTGAAACAGGGAACAAAAGCAAACAATCAACTGAAGAGACTGAACAATGTGTAACAAGGATTTAGATTCTCAGCATACATTTCTGATTTGCACAAAAAGCCAGTGACTTCTTTTAAAAGAATCCTTGAATGAAATCCTACTAAACGCAAAGGAATTGTTATTCAATTAGAACTTCTGATTCACCTTTTGCAAAACAATGATTTTGAACGATCAGAGTAATACTCGTTTTATTTACAGATTACATGTTCATTATAGAGGTGGCCTTCTCATATTTTCTTCTATTTTGTTATTGCTATACAAGTACCCACATATACTGCATAACATCACATCTAAGTAAAACCTTGCTGCTCACTGTCAGTGTTGTTTTTTTTTTTTTTCAATGCAACACTGTTCCACTAGAGGGTAGCATTGCGCTAAAACCCTAAGGAGTTTTGGTTCACTTTACCTTTAATTATCAAACTTCAAGGTTTGAAAGTTTCTTCAGCATTATTCCCTCACAGTATCGACAGTCTCAGTCTTTCCAGCTTCACATTTTGAGTGAAATAAGTCAGGAGATACCTATCAATGCCATTAATAAAGTATGTTTTACCCCTTCAACATAAAAGTCTTGCTACTTTTATGTCAAGTCATCCCACAGCTTCATGTAAATCCAGGCCAATGACTTCAGGGAAGATACTACGCAAGCATCTTATATGTACAGTGATATATACGTGTTCATTATATGTATTTTACATGTTCAGTGGTATATATATGTTCAGGATGTATATATTGAACAGTGATGTTTACAAAAAAAAACCAAAAACAACCCCAAAATCACCCCCTTCTCAATACCTTTCATACTTTGATCCTGATAGCCAAATATAATTTGCTCTTACAAGAAATTAACTACAGAAACTTCTCCTGGACTTAACCAAGACCACAGGGAGCACATATTCTGATTTCATAACAAAGAGAGTAAAGGTGGACAGACATGTGGTTCAGATACTACATACATCAGGATTACTTTGTCTTTACAATTACAAGCAAAGCTAAGGTATAACATCAGTTAAAGTGCCTTTAATGTCCCAAGCCATTACTGCCTTGGATAGACAAGCATTTGTAACGGAGCAAATGTGTTTTTCCCCACTTGGCCTCCTCAGATAGTATGGGCAATCAGAGTAATATTAAAAACCCAATAATCTGGCCCAGGTAAAAATGACCTGAGAATCTGTGGAGAACTCAGCAGGTCTTTTTTCCTATGAAGAACATATGGTCAAAGATAAGCTATATAGAGACACTGGAGTATGTTCCTGCCTCAAATGATGTAAACTGCTAAACTTTATTAAGACTTTAGATGTAGCACTTAATTTTTACAAGTTTCAGAGGAATTGTCATCCACTAATGTCGTGGTTTGAGCCTCAAACCCAGGACAACTAATCACTAGAAAACATTTAAAACCCAATGAAGCCTGCATCTGAACTATTTGAAAAATGATGACAGCAACATTTAGTGTCTGAAAGAAGTATTTAATCCTTGTGCTACATCTGATAATTAAACTCTCATTTTAGCAACACATTGGAAGTTCCAGCATTTAACATTCCTGTCAGCCGCTAAATGTCCAAAACCCAACCTTAAAATCTGTAATTCAGGTACTGTTTTTAATTCATCAGTGCTCAGAGTGAGGATGACTGGATTTCTTTAATGACCAACATAAAAACAGAATTAACCTATCAGTGATTTCTTCTCCAGAATGAAAGGGCCAGTACCTTACTGGAAGTACTGAACAGGTTCACCCTTCTCAGACTGGCAGAAGTATATACAAGAGTACCACTGAATTTCAAGGGGACTGGAGAAACTTTAAGGTTTCTACCTTTCAAAAACCCCAATTTAAGCATGCAGGTGAAAATTTAAAAGTTGTGCTGCTGCTTTTGTGGTATACAAGGTTGCAACCTGTATGATGCATTTTATTTTTATATTCTGAAGATCATACGTAACACTACTTTTAATATGAATCTGATATATGTCAGTGTAAGATGCTCTTTCATTTGGTTTTGCTGTTTGTTTTTTTTTTTGT